TTGACGAATAGGTCCAACGTACACACAGGGAATCCGAGTTTGTGAAAGTGGCGAGCTGCAGCGACGCATTTGTCTACGGCTGGCTCCGTTGCCTCTGCTGTCGCCTCCTGCAAAAGCCGGAGACCGAGATTACTTTGCGCAAATTCCTGAACCCTCTGAACATAATGAGGAAGGCTACCAGACTGGGCATGCATCCGGCTGTTTATGATGTTCAAGCTTTTGCTTAAACTATTCTGAGATCCGAGGTCAGTCGACGTACCTCTGCTGTCGCCTCCTGCAAAAGCCGGAGACCGAGATTACTTTGCGCAAATTCCTGAACCCTCTGAACATAATGAGGAAGGCTACCAGACTGGGCATGCATCCGGCTGTTTATGATGTTCAAGCTTTTGCTTAAACTATTCTGAGATCCGAGTTCAGTCGACGTACCTCTGGATCGTCGCGAGTGGCTTCAACATCTGCCGCCGGCCGTGGGTCACTTGCTTCGATCTCCATGCCAGCCTGAGCTGCTGCCCCTGCCGCCACCTGGAAATGCTGGAGACCGATAAAAGTTTGGGCGAATCCATAAACATCTTGAACATACGTACGGCGAAGGCCAAGGCTACCAGACTTGGCACGCATCCAGATGTTTTTGATGTTCATGCTTTTGCCCAAATTATTATGAGATCCAAGGTCAGTAGGTAGGCTGCCTCTGCTGCCGCCACCTGGAAAAGCCGGGGACTGAGATTACTTTGCGCGAATTCCTGAACTCTCTGAAAAAGGACAAGGAAGGCTACTCGGCAACGCATCCGGATGTTTGTGATGTTCATGCTTTTGCCCAAACTATCTGAGATCCGAGGTCAGCCGACCTACCTCCGACCCGTCGGGAGTGGCTACCTCAGTTGCCTCCGGCCGTGGCTCTTGATCGATCTCCATACCAGCCTGTGCTGCTTCCCCTGCAGCCGCCACCTGGAAAAGCCGGAGTCCGGGTTTACTTTGTGCGAATTCCTGAATACTCTAAACGGGACGAGGAAGGCGACTTCGAACGCATCTGGATGTTTACGATGTTTATGCTTTTGCCCGAAGTATTATGGGATCCTAGATTAGTAGACGTACCTGCGACCTGTCGCGAGTGGCTTCCTCAGTTGGCTCCGGCCGTGGGTTTGCTTCGATCTCCATACCAGCCTGTACTGCCGCCTCTGCTGCCGCCTCCTAAAAGATGCCGGAGGCCGAGAAAGGCTTGCGCAAATCCATAAACACTAAGATGCTATTAGACTCGGCAACGCATCGGAATGTTTATGATGTTTATGCTTTTGCCCAAAACTATCACGGGATCCAAGCTCAGTCGACATACCTCTGGATCGTCGCAAGTGGCTTCCTCGGCTGGCTCCATCCGTGGTTATTGTTTGACACCTTCGCACCATTTGGCAACAGTGGATGCGGTCTTCCACAGCGACAAGCGTGTTCAAGATGTTTGGACTTTTGGACAAACTATTTTCATGTGAGCGAAGGAGAAGGGGCAGGCTTTTGATGGGTTTTGTCAACGTGGTACCCCCTCTGGATATTTGATGTCCTTCTTTTTTACATGATCATCTTTTTTATTAATAGAAAAAGAAAGACATTAAACATCCATAGTGCTATTGGAACTGGAGGCCATTGACAGAACTCTGGTCCTCTCCTTGGCTCTTTGAAATAGTTTGTCCAAAAGCTTAGACACCTTGAACAAGGAATCGAGAGGTTTTTCTCTCGCCTAAAGTCTTTATGGGTTCCAGAGTGAAAGACCTACCCCCGAGTTGCAAATGGCTTCCACAGTCGCCGGCTCTTGCGGCATGGTGCCCACTGCCGCTGCCTCCTGGATCAGCCAGAGACCGAGATTAGTTTGCGCAAATTCATAAACATCCTAAACATAAAGCCTCGGCGGCTGTCGCTGATGTTCATGCTTGTGCGCAAACTGTTTATGGGATATTGAATCATATACCAACCTCTGGATCGTCGCAGGTGGCTTCATCAGATGGCTCCCGCCGTGGCTCTTGTTGGATCTCTATACCGGCATGTACTGCTGCCGCCACCTGAAAGAGCCAGAGACTGAGAGAATTTTGCGCAATTCCATAAACACCCTGAACAAGACAAGGCATGCTACCAGGCTGGGCACGCATCTCGATGTTTATGCCGTTTATGCTTTTGCCCAAAACTATCACGGGATCCAAGCTCAGTCGACATACCTCTGGATCGTCGCAAGTGGCTTCCTCGGCTGGCTCCGGCCGTGGCTCTTGATCGATCTCCATACCAGCATGTACTGCCGCCTCTGCTGTTGCCTCCTGGAAAAGTCGGGGACCGAGATTAATTTGCGCGAATTCGTGAACACCCTGAACAGGACAAGGGGCACGCATCCGGATGTTTAAGATGTTTACGGTTTTGCCCAAAACTTTTCTGGGATCCAGAGTCATAGACCTACCTTTGGTTCGGTTGAAGTGGCTTCCACATGTGGCGACCGCATCGGCTCTTCTTCGTGTTCTGCCGGCGGTTGCTCAAAGTTGTCCAGCCTCGTGTCCAGCTCCAAACCACTCTCTCTTGCTGCCACTGTCGCTGCCACCTGGGAAGATCTCAAGAATAGTTTGCGTCAGTTCCTGAACATCCGAACACCGATTGGAAGATTTTTAGACAGTGCATGCATCTTGGTGGTTCAAGCTTTTGCCGAAACTCTAAAACAGTGGTAGTTAACTCACCACTTTGCAGGCGGGTTTTTGTCGCTTGCTTTTCTTAGGCAACCTCGTCTTCGTGCGCTTTGTGCTTTCGTTACCGAGCACGACAGCCTCTAAGCTAGTGGTCATGCTACTTACGTATGCCGGAGAAGTAGGCGAGTACAGTGATTCCGCTTCAAGAGCCATTTCTGGACTGTGTTTTTCCATCTCAAAAGGCGGAGTTTCAGTGCTTAGAACCGATGTGCAACCGTGCTGTGGAGGGAGCAATGCTGACTAGCTTGCATGTGTTTTTGCTTCCGCCACTGTTTCGAAGCGCTTGCGAAGCTTTTACAGTCGTGTATCTTGTGCCGACCTTTGAACCTTTGAACCTTGCAGCAGCTTTCAGCAAGACTTTGAACACGAATTGAAACCTTTGCACGAACGTTTGCGCACGGAGGCCATCGACGGCTGTCGCTGGCGCGATCGGAAATACTTTGGTCAAGACCTTGAACAGTCTGAACATGCTAGATCAGCCCTAGGTTAGCCTAGCCTGATTACCGAGCTGTTAGAGCGGAAAATGTCCTGACCTGTTTTTACGAGTTCAGGGTTTTCATGCTTTTAGGGAGTCAAACCCAAATAAATGATAATAATGCTTTTGTGTGTTCAGAGAAGAAGACCGTCCCTCTCGTTCATTCGACTACTGCTGTAGTTTTACGAAGACGGAGACAAAGTGATCAAAGCAAGATCTACTAGGGCTGGCTGAACGCAGTCATGGGGCTGTTTGATGTCTGCAAGCACACTCATTATTCAGACGCCAATATTTATAAGTGCCACGAGTACCATCGTACAAAGATTGGAGTTTATAAATCAAAATATGTGTCTTGGGGAGTCGGGCATGTAGTCAGTTACAGTGCGACACTTGGTGCCACAGTTGCAACCGGCGGTCTCCTGGTTCCCCTCATGCCTGTTTCAATGGGTGCTGCATATTCACACATGATGTACTACCAAAAAAAGATTCGAGTGCATGCGGAGGCAATGGAGAGGGCGGAGAAAGAGCTGAAGAGGAGAGGGCTACAAGTTCCTGTTGAAAAGTGAGAGGGTATTTGTATGATAGTCCTTAGCTCAGTTTATTTGGAGATTAAAAGTGATTGAAATATTGTGTAGCTCTTTCAGTCTTTGGAAGCTTTCCAATGATGAATATATGTGTTTA